CATTTATACTGGGGACTATGCTATTCCTGCTTTGACACTCCCTTTATAGTGGGTACAGACACTGGCTGTATATTTGCGTATGTAGTTCTTATTTACTGCCAATCTGAAGGGCAGTGGGGCTTCTTCCCCATTTGTGGCATGTAGAGGTGGAGCTCAAGGAGTTTGGCATCTTATGCCGAGATGTTGTTCCTGTTTTAATACTTTCTTGTCCCAACTCCCAAGAGCAGGTGTAGAAAGTTCAAATAGATCATTATACGAGAGTTGGACAAACAAGTGTTTAAATAGTCATTTGAAAAATATATGGTTGGTTTACCACAAAGATTAAGATGATAAAAACTAGTGAAAAATTGTATTGGTTAGTATCCTTGAAAAGTTTGCGATTTAGGGCAAGGCGTTAAAAAGATCAGGACAGAGAAAATGAAATATCTAACTTATGGATTGAGAAAGATATCACAGTAGTATTTTGGAGGTTTTATCTCATTGATTGATTCACTTTTGCAGGTGTGCGAGAATCATCCACAAGGGGTTATTTTGGTCAAATTTAAGGATAGAAGGGATGCACATAGGTGCATTGAGTCGATGAATGGACGCTGGTAAGTGATTGCTTGATTTTCATCTGCATCTAAAAACTTTTGTTATCTCATGCAAACTGCATTGAAGATTTTTACCGAAACTTATTAGTTCCTCTCCTCCATTATGTATGACACTGTTTCCTTTTTAGTTTGTTCTTGAAAGAACGACCTTTCTATTTTTGGGAACCCTTTAATGTCATGCTCTCACGGCCACAAAAATCCATGGCATGTTTAAGGCCACAAGTTCCAATTGTACTTTTGGTGTGTAGCAAAAATCTTATCTTTCTTTCTTATAATTCATGCCTAGTCAAACACAATATAAATTAGAACGGATGGAGTATATATAAACAAGCATTAGTGTATCTCGTGAAGTTGCTTTTCTAGATCGACAGCAGAGTAATCAGAACCTGCGTATTGTTCTTGTTTTTTGTTTATGTGATTTGACTCATATTCGTTTGTTGCAACAGGTTTGCTGGTAGGCAAATCCATGCTAGTGAGGATGATGGATCTGTTAACCATGCTTTAGTCCGAGATATAGATGAAGAAACTGATAGATTGGAGAAGTTTGGAGCTGAACTTGAAGCTGATTCATAGATGTGGAAATAGTAGCAACACTTATTTTTGCTTGCTATACATCCCATATGTCTATGCAACTCTTTGAATACGAATCCGTTTTCTGAAAGATTCTGACTGCCATACTTTGGTGAGAACTCCAATGTCTTGCAAAAAGTGGTGATGGGCGCTGACCTCGTGGCATGCCAACTAGATTTGTCATCGCAAGTAATGGGTCATCTCCTAGTTTTCTTTGGAGTACATGTAACATGATCAATTGAATGAGAAAATAGTCTTTTCTTGGTGAAGTGGAGTAGAACTTTCTCTAGCACTTTAACTTTCGGAACGTGACATGCTTTGTAAGTATCGTAGCTACAAAAATTTGTTCGATGATCACTTGTTTTCACTTTCTTTTGTTGTTATGTTCCGTTCCTTTGACCTTGCACGATAGGAGTAAGTTCTGTATACATCTTTGCGTACATCTGTTCAAACTTTATTTTGTTGGATTATCGTGGATATGTTGTTTGTCATTTTATGTAGACTTGTATGGTATACTTTCTAAGGAATGTACTTTTATTTTTAAAAATGTTAAATTCGTGCAGGGTACTTGACATTATGTTAAGATAATTCCTGTGCCCCTAACCTAGTCCTGGTTTGAATCTCCGGTGGAAAGATTTGAGATATCTTCTCCTACTCTGTGAAGTTCCGGAGTCTTTGGTCTCAAGTCAAGTTGGGACATCATTTCACTCTCTTAACGGAAATGAATGCACGGCAAGACCAGACAACGTTGCTCGCTTGCCTCATAGCGAGGTCATTTGTCTTTTAAGTTAAGTTATTTTCTAAGATGACTCCTCTTATTCTACGATAATTCAAGCTACAACGGCACCTCATGAACACTCATATTTCTGTTAATTAAAGACCATCTATGTTTAGCTAAACATTAACAAATGGTCCAAAAGTGTCATTATCATTTTTTAAAATGAAAATTTCAAAAAAGTCAAAAAGAGATTTTAATAATTTCCTCTTTTCCCCACACAACGGTCATATACCAATCAAACTCACAAAATATGACCGTTGCACCCCGCCCCCCT